GTTTTGTTTTGTTTTGTTTTGTTTTGTTTTCTGAGTTTGGAAGTGTTTACTTTCAAACTTTTTGAAAAAGATTAGTAGTAATTGTTTAAATCATTGATATATTTTGGTATTGAGGTCATAAGATCCTGGGATTTTCTTTAATAAGAGACTTTTTCCTTCCAGATCTATTTCTTTAATCACTATTGAACTCCTCATATTTTATATTTAAATCTTGATAGGTTATAGGTATTCAGAAATTTGCTGATTCTTTCTAGGTTATCCAGCTTGTCATTGTATAGTTAGTTGTTCATCCTAGTTTGTATTTTTTGATAGTAACTGTTACATAAATCTTTTCATCTCTAATTTTCTTTGAGTCTTCTTGTTTCCTTTTTCATTTTTGAGATAACATTTTTATTTACGTTACAAAGACTCCTTTAAAATTTTTTTGTGTTTTTTTTTCCTACTTATTTCATCTATTTTTACTTAGACTTTATTATTTATTCACCCACACTGATTTTGGGTTCAGTTTGCTGTTATTTCTCAATTCTTTGAGGTACAGAATTACATTGTTTGAAATATATCATGCCTTCTTTTTGATGCAGGAGAACAAACTGAGTACTATTTGGCTTTAGTAGTTCTTTTTAAGATATTTATTTTTATTTGAAATGCATCTTTTTTTCACTCCCCAAATGGCCACAATGGCTAGGGCTGATCTGATCTGAAGCTGGGAGCCAGAGGAAGAGCCATGGAGGAGAGGGGTGCCAAGGATGTGGACTATCCTTCTTTTCCAGGCCACAAGCAAAGAGCTAAATCTAAAGTATTGCAGCTGGGTATGAATCAGCACCCATATGGAATGCTGGCACTGCAGGCAGAGGATTAGCTTGCTATATCACCACACCAGACAGCCCCCATTTTTGATTTTACACTTTGTAACTTTTTATATTGTATATCCCTTAATAACTTACTGTAAATATTACTATTTTTGGATGGTTTTGTCTCCTAACCCTCATACCAAAAATTTACATACTACCATTACAACATTAGCATAGTCCGAGTTTGGTTGTGTATTTACTTTTATCAATGAATATTATACTTTCCTGGTGTTTTGTGATACACATTAGCTTCTTTTATCTTTGCTTTGAACAACTTTTTTTTTTTTTAAAGATTTATTTTTATTATTTTTCTATTGGAAAGGCAGATATACAGAGAGGAGAGACAGAGAGGAAGATCTTCCGTCCGATGATTCACTCCCCAAGTGAGCGCAACGGGCCGATACTATGCCGATCCGAAGCCAGGAGCCTCTTCCGGGTCTCCCACGCGGGTGCAGGTTCCCAAAGGTTTGGGCCGTCCTCGACTGCTTTCCCGGTCCACGGGCAGGGAGCTGGAAGGGAAGCGGGGCTGCCGGGATTAGAACCAGCGCCCATATGGGATCCCGGGCGTGCAAGGCGGGGACCTTTAACCACTTGCGCCACCGCGCCGGGCCCTGAACAACTTTTTTTAACATTATTTTTAAAAATTTATTTTTGATGATATTTACATAGTTGATCAGGTGAAAGGATTGAGGGTTAGGATAAGGGCATGTGATAATTGTGGGGAGCCATGCAGTTGGGTCGGATGGCATGGGTGTGTGATGAGCACTGCTCCTCAGTTAGCAAGGCTATGAGGAGTTTCTGGCTGCGTGGCAAGGCCCGGCAGAATGTCTCTGGTCACCTCATTGCTGCCTCACCCATTGTATGGAACTCAATCACCTCTCTAATGTTTCATAGAATTCTTCTGAGGGTGTTGTTGTTTTTCTGCTAATGTGAAGTGATTCCTGTAACTGGTATGACACTTCAAATTGGTCAATCATGGTATGATAAAAACACCTTTAGTAACGGTAAGGCTATGACACACAGCTAAAAGTATACAATAGTACAATTGAGCCCACTATGTTTCCAAACATCCTGTTATGTGCCCACTTTTGTCCTAAAGTTTGCCCTAGTATAAGTAATGTTTTCCTTAAGAAATGGCTTGATAATATCTTGCAACGGATGACAATCATGGAGGTACAAAGAGTGTGTTTACCATACACCTTGAGCTGTTACAACACATGATATGATGCATTTTAGTTTCTTACCACAGAAAGCAAAAGTATATGGGGCATCTTTTATAAGGAAATAGATGTGAACCCCCTCAAAATGGTTTAAAATCTTTATCTTATATTGGCACTTATATTTAGGGAAAGAAAATAGTTTATATAGATGAAAGGAAGTTTCTTGTAAAGGCCATTTGTAGATTGGCTGAGCTGCCTTGATCCCTTTCTCTGCCCTTTAACAAAAGAATGAAAAACAATTGAATCGGCACTAGGTGAAGGTGACAGTAATTAATGCATGACTTGATTATAAGAATTAACAAAGGATCTATGTTATATACTTTTATAAAATCCTTTCATTTATGATCTTTTAACTCTGTATTCTTAATATTTTAATCAATATTAGTTTGTGTTTAGTAAAAATTGATTTTGAGTATAAGTAAACTACTTGTCACGCTGTCAACTGTGGAGTTCCTGGCTGCAGTCAGGTGATTGCAGGTTTCAATGAGTAATGGTTTGTTAAAAATGTTTTCTTTGAAATAGAAAAATATTTTCCTTAGGATTGTTTTTATATTCTCTTAAACATGAAGTGAAAATGAAACAATTGGATATTGTGCAAAAGCTTGTGATGATTTATGTATAAATAAAGAAGGCAACTTTTCTGAGTTGTCCATTGTGCATCAAGCCATAGTGGTCCGCTTCTTATCTCTTCCTATCACCTCACCGATCCATGCATCCTTTGCAAGCTCTCAGTCAGCTGGAGCTGGTCTCTGGCAGATAATTGTTTCCAAATTTTCTATTTCTTCTTTCTGCTTCTGGGGGAGGGGGAAGATAAAGGGAGAAGCCATACCCAGTCTCCCAAATGCCCCAGTATCCAGGGTTGGCAAACCGCTACCCAATATCAATCCAGGGTTCTGAGATGATGAGGTTCTGCCCAAGTGGCTTGGATAGCTCTGAAATGCTGTGGATTTTGCCTATCTAAGGATGAGGAAGCCCTTCCAAAGTCCACTGGCTGACATAGTCGACTTTAAGTCTCCATTTGCTCAGATTTTTGCTGTCATCCTTTGGCTGGGGTAGTTGTCCAATTTGTTCTGTCCTCTTTCTTTTGCTATGGTATCCAATGGGATGCCATATTCTCCAAGTGCATCAGGGTTTGCTGTCCACTACTCCACCTTTTCTGCTGAGGAAGACATGTTCTTGCTGGTGGGCCCAAGGGCCTTGGAGGGGTGACCTGAGCCTCACTGGAGCCCATGCCCACAGGGCTTATGAACTTGGTACCCACCATTAGGAGGACAGGAGACCTGGGCCAGGTGACCCAAGGATCTCTCCACTCCTGGGGCTCACAGACCTGGCATCCACTTTGTAGGCAGCCCAAGGATGTGGGCCTGGCAAGTAGAACAGTGCCAGGCCCCCCACCCCCTGGGCTCATGAATCCAACACCTACTGCACAGGGTGGCAAAGAGATCTGGGGCCTGGGGACCTGGACCCAGCCAGAATCCTGCCCCAGGTTCTTTAAATCTGGTAGTGATCCACCCTTCAGCTTTTGTTTATCTAGCAATGTCTGTCTCTCATTTCTGAGGGACAGGTTTTCTAGGTATAATATTCTTCATTGCAAGCTTTTTTTTGTTGTTCTATGTTTTAAAAATGATTTATTTCTTTGCATTTGAAAGGCTGATTTGCATAGAAAAGACAGACAAAACAGAGAGAAATATCTTTAATCTGCTGATTTACTCCCCAGATAGCTGCAACAGCTGGAGCTAGGCTGGTCTGAAAATAGGAGCTTGGATCTTCTTCCAGGTCTCCTACATAGGGGCAGGTTCTAAGGCTTTGGGCCATCCTCCAGAGTCCTTCCAGGATCATTATCAGGGAACTAAATTGGAAGAAGAGCAACTGGGACTTGCATTGACACCCATATGGGAAGTTTAACCATCCAAACCACAGCATCAACCCCATTCTACGTTTTTAAAAAAGGTTTATTTGAAAGTTAGAGAGAAAGAGAGAGAGGAGGTGAGATACAGAAAGTGTGAGAAAAAGATTGTCTACCCACTGGTTCACTCTCCAAATGGCTGCAATAGCTGGAGCTGGGCCAGGCAGAAACTAGGAGTCAGGAACTTCATCCGGGTCTCTCACTTGTGTGCAGGAGCAAGCACTTGGACCATTATTATTGCTTTCCCAGGCACATTGCTATGGAGTTGTATCAGAAGTATAGTGGCCAAGACTTGAACTGGTGATCATATGGGATACTGGTGCCACAGGCTGCAGCTTAAACAGTTATGTCATGACACTGTCCTTTATTCTGCACTCTCTTCTGGCCTGGGGTTTCTGCTGAGAAGCTTGTGCTAGGCACCTTGAATTCCCTTATCTGTCACTTGTTCCTTTTGTTTTGTAATTTGGAGATCTTCTCTTTCCTTGATAGATTGATAATATGTCCTGGGGTGCTCTTGTTTAGAATATCTCTGATTAAACACCTTTGGTTTTTCTCTACCTTGATACAATTATTAAATCACTAAATGACAGAGATATATTCTGAGAAATATGTTATTAGGAATTTTTATCACTGAGAGAACAGTGTAGTTTCTTTTTTTTCAAGATTTATTTATTTTTATTGGAAAGGCAAATCCACAGAGACAAGGAGAAACAGAGACAAAGATCTTCCATCCAGTGGTTCACTCCCCAAGTGTCCATAACAACTGGAGCTGAGCCGATTCGAAGCCAGGAGCCAGGAGCTTTTTCCAGGTCTCCCACATGGGTGCAGAGTCCCAAGGCTTTGGGCAATCCTCTGCTGAATTACCAGTCCACATGCAGGGACCTGGGTGGGAAATGCAGCATCTGGTACGCGAACTGGTGCCCATATGTATCCCAGTGCTTACAAGGCAAGGGTTTAGCCACTAGGTTATTGTGCCGTGTCCAACAGTGTATTTGATCAAACTTAGTTGGAACAACCTACTACATTCTGAGACTATATGACGTAGCATATTAACCCTATGCTGTAAGTTGCATAACTTGCTACTGTTCTGAATATTGTGGAAAAAGCAACACAGTTGTGTTTATGTAACTAAGCTTTGGTACCAATAGAAAAGGTTTTGTAAAAATACAGCATAAAAGATACAAAATGGTATTACTATATAGGTCACTTGTAAATGAAATTTGTAGAACTGGGAGTTTTATGGTATAGTTATGGATGAAAGGCAGAGACTAATATAATTGTGGCATCTTAAAAGTGTGTATAAGTGAGAGGTCTTTGCGCCACTGGGGCATGTGCTTCTTGGGGATAGTTCTTCAAGTGGTTGCCTGAGTTTGAGCTGACTCTTCTCTTTCTTGATTACCATATGGTCCACTCTCTACTTCTACCTCCTTCATTGCTAGCCTCCACTAGATGCCAGGCTATGAGGCACCTGGTGTTAAACTGTGACATCCAAACTGCAAGTTGATAAAACCTTTCTTTCCAAGAAGTGTTTTTCAGGCCTTTTAGTTTAAGTAATGAAAGTGGACTAATACCTATTGTTAGCCACAGCCTTAGTAAAACCTGTAATAAAAATCTGGGAAAAATTGCTTCCATGGAGATACAAGGTCATGGTCACTAAGGCATTATGTAACTGGATGGAATACCCTTGGGATCTTAATGCTAGATAACAATTGGAGAAACAAAATTGAGGGGGAGAATTCTAAGCATTATATAAACTCTGGGTGGATGTGGAAGATCTGAGAAGAACAGTTTCTGGAGGAGAGAAGGAATATGATGAACTAGGCCAGCAAATAGTGCTGAGTCATTCAGATATCCAATTTCTGCTCTCAGAGAAAGGCAGCATTCCTGCAATAGGACAGACATGAGATATATTGGTCAAAGAGACTCTTGTGCCATCATTATACCACTTCCCAACTATCCTACAACTTTGCAATCACATTTATATTTACATTTTCCCCGACATTTATTCTTGTGGTTTCAGCTCTAACAAATTTGAATCCTTACCTTCCCTTCCTGGGTGTGATTCACAAGGGCCCTTGCTGTCTGGAGGTGCCACCTGTGCGCAATCCTTGGATGATGAAGATGGTGCCTACTATGATGCCCCCAAGGCCAATAGCCAACCCCAGGGCACAGACCACGGTCTCCGTCAGCTCTGACATGGGGACTGGGATCTTGGGTTCTGCAGAAGTGAAGTTGCAGAGGTCAGTATACAGAGCACAGGTCTGTTTGTGTGTAATGAGGTAGGGAGATTCTGCAAAGACTTGCAGTACCAGGCTTAAGAATGAGACTGAAGTTTATCATTGCAATTCATTAATAAAGTATGTAAAAACTGATTTAGGGCAACCAGAGTTAGGGGCTAAAAGGCAGAATATTGTGGAGTTGAAAGACAAGAAGGCATCAAAAGGAATGGAACTCACACCTACCCCAGTGTTTCAGAAGTGGCTTCTCCAGACCCCAGTGCTCCACTCTGCAGTCATAAATATCATCAGCAGTAGGGAGGAAGGTGAGGTAGCCCATTTTTGAGAAGGCATGATCACTCTTGGAGAGGAAGCTGGTCTCAGAAACACCTTCTGTGACTGAACGCCCATTGATCAACCATGAGATGTTGGTCACAGGAGGAAAGATGTTGTCCACAAAGCAGATGAGGGTGTTGGGCTGCCCCAGCCTCACAGGGGACTTGGGAAACACAGTCACCTCTGGAATTTCTGTGGAGAGGAAATGGCACTGGTCTGAGTTATTAATACCTACCTCAGTCCTGCTCTGTGGAGAAGCCTTCCACCAGAATGTCCCACCCGACAGCTGAAGACCTCTTGTTTCCCTCTGCTAAGGAAACACTGTCAATGTCAGAGCTTAAGCACCATGCTCTTCTGTGGGATTGATCGTTAAGATATGCGAACTAGGGATTTCTTGAAGGACTCAAGGAATACATTATGGGAGAAGGAGCTTGGCATTACATGAAATGTGTGAATTGTGAGGTAAGAGAGGATAGCATTTCAGTAATAACTGTGAGATCTGAGTTCTCAGTCCTTATTCCTTAGGGAATAAGGGAGGGAGACCTGGTATCAAGGGACGGATTCTGAAATGGGAAGCAGGGTGTGACACTTACCATTGACAGCAGCTGTATAATTGAAACGTTTAATCAAGATGTCCAAGCCTTGTGCCATTGCGGCTATGTTTCCCAGTGCACCCTGTGGGTCAAAACTTGTGAAGTGACTAAACACAGGCAGGCTCCAGACAGTCTCCTTCTTTTTCAGGTCCACATAGAACTCCTCGTCTCCATCAAATTCGTGGGTGTACTGGCCAGACGAATCGTAAGTCTGGTAGACGTTTACACCGTAGGAAGCAACGTGGTCAGCTGAGGAGTGAAAGTGACCAGCAGGAAGGTGGGAAACAGAAAAAAAACGCTTTGTTAAACTAGTGACAACAAAGTTACTTTCAAATACTGCAAGTTTCATTGTTGGAAAAGTCTCTGGTCAAAATTCTTAATGCCTCCTTGAGCCTCTCTGCTGTGTTGGTAGATGTCCAATATTGGGTATAAGTTTGTGATAAATATTGTATTGAAAGGAATAACTGAATGAATGATCATAATATTTATTTTTCTTATTGAAGATTTAGTTTTCTTCCTTCTGTTTCCCAACTTTCACCAGTTAATAACACATTCACTGTGGCTTCTCTTCTCAGAACTGCCTCAGAGCTGATAATTTGTTTAAAGTTTTATTTATGTTTTTTGGAAAGGCAGATTTACAGAGACAGAAAGATCTTCAAACTGATGGTTTACTCCCCAAATGGTTGCAATGGTCAGAGCTGAGCTGATTTGAAACCAGGAGCCAGGAGCTTCTTTCCAGTCTCCCACATATGGTACAGTGTTCCAAGGACTTGAGCCATCATCCACTACTTTTCCAGGTCATAAGCATGGAACTAAATGAACTAGATTAGAAGTGGAGTACATCCTGGATCCTCACCAAGGGCTATCAGTACAGGCACCAACAACTTCATCCCAACTGCCAAGGAGACCACGGGGAATTGGAGTGCCTTTGGAGACCAAGAACTCTGAGGTCACCCACCCCCATTTGAATCTACAACATGGGATTCAAGAAGCCCAGATTCTTCCTCGCAGGATCCAAGGTCATTGGAACAACAGCCAGGAGCCCTGAGTGGTCTGCAGAAGCAGAAGAACAGTAAATTTCCTTTGGGACTAGAGAGAGGAGCTTTTTCTGGTCCTTATTTAGTTCCAACTTTGGATCCCCACCCTCTCTTGTAATGACCGTTAGGGTCGCTCCGAAGCGCCCCCACTTGCCCCAAAAAAGTAGACAAAAAAGAATTAGAATAGACAGAGAACAACAAGGAAAGCTTAGAACCAGACAGGAAACGGTCAGTGTGGATTCACCTATACCTTACTAGGTAGGACACAAAGATTAGTTACTTCCTGCTAGGGTATTGAAGATTTCTCTGCACACCCCTCCTAAAACTGTTCTGCACCTCAACTGTTGACATATGTCTTGTTAGATTTATAAGTCTGTTTGGACTATCCTAAAATTAGCGAAGTTCAGTAAAAATCACACTTGAATTCTATAAGCTGTTAAATATAAAAATGAAAATAGACACAAGACAGTTGAATTGTACCCCATAGCCGTTTTAAAGTGATTAGCAGCCGGTTCTGTATATAAACTAAAATTGAAATGTCAAGGAAGTAGTTACAGGATGTGGTCAAGAACTTACTTTTTTTTTGTTTTTTAACATATTGGTTACTCAATACCATGTCAATTAATTCCATAATGTTGTAAATTGTTGTTGTTGATGTTGTGTTGGGGCTTTTGATTGGGATGATATTCTGCCAGCTCTACCTTCAGAAGGTCTGCCCAAGAAACCACTGAATTTATCTGAACAATAAGATGCTGGACTCTATGCTTGGTATATGCTTGCAATGAAGGAATCTCAACTGAACTTGAACTGAGGTTATGCAGCAAGGTGGAGGAATCCACTATGGGGGGAGGGTTGTGGGAGGGGTGGGGGGAATCCCAGTGCCTATAAAACTGTATCACATAATACAATGTTAATAACAATAAAAAATAAAAAAATAAAACAAAAAAATGAAAACTTTATTAGGTTTCAGATTTCTGTTATGCACCAACTTTTTTGTCTCTCCCTTTTATGCCTCAATATTTATTTTCATTTGAAGGCTCAGTAAATGGAGTTTGTTCTCCAATGAACAGTGTGCATTTCTGAGGATGCCACAGCAAAATGGCACTAATGTAAAATTGGTCTCTAAACACACCTGATTGGACATTTTCATCAAGACAGCTATGAATCTTTTGCCATTTCATGTTTCCTCCCTTATTTTCTGGTTATCAACAAGTGGCAGACGCAGCAGCAAGTGAGAAGGAACACACCAATCAGGCATTGTCTCTCCCAGGAAGGAACTGTTGACCAATTGAACAGTCAGGCAAGTAAAGGAACAGACACAATATCCTCTGTGGTGAGGATATTGACATCTGTATGGTTTAACACCCTCTGCAAGTATTTGCCAGTCACAGAAATCCAAGGATCTGCTTTGGTATTTGAGATGAAATTGCTTTTCAGGACTTCTGGGATTCATCCTTTCCATCCTGAAAGTTTCTGTTCAGTCCCTAAGCATCTTAGATAAGTTCGCTTTGTAACATATCTTTGGCCATATTATGACCCCTGACCTTTCCATCCCAGTGTCCTGATCTCCAAGTTTGCCTATTCTTCTTCTGACTTACTCTTTGCTTTACCTAGCATGTTCACCTTTGTTAATCACTTCATAGACCATCAAACAAAGCCTTCATACACATGCAATGAATCTCAACTCCTTTTCAAATATGAACATTGTTAATCATCTTTTTATGTGGAACTTGTCCAAGGCTGCCAGGTAAGGGCATTATTCAGCTGGGCCAGTTGGAGCCAAGTCATGTTTTAACTCACTTTTCAGACTCAGCAGTGTCCACTGCTCTGTTTGCTTAGCTGCTTTTCTCCCTACGGGTGCCAGCTCCTGGCAGTTTATCTAAATCTAGGTTAAAGAAAAAGACATCTTACTGGATAGGTGTATATTATACACAATCCATGGAACCATTGTCCCCAAAATATATTGCAGGAGTCAAATAAAAAGCATCTAACATTGCTGAGAGAAATTTGGAAATGACAGTTCATAAATATTCATAAATGAATAGATCATTGTGGCAATGTTCCTGTTCTTTGAGGCAACCATGACTGAATGTCATAGAGACTATACTCATTGGACCTGGTTTAAATGGAAAATGTCCTTGGTGAACAGCACAGGAAGCAAAGAAAGAGGGCTGAGGATCTGGTTTCCTAAAGGAGGATTAGCTATACTTTTAGAACCTCTTAATATGGAAAAGGGCATTGGGAAATCTCTACTGTTTTAGCCAACTTATGTCTCTTTTTCCATCTCTATGGACAGCCCTCCACCACGCACTCACCTTCAATGTCTTCAGCTCTGCCCAGGGTCATCATGGCCATCACGGCAAGAACCCCTAGCATCCACGCTTTGTTGGGAATCATCCTCTTCTCAAGGTGATCCTGGTAGTCGCTGCTCTGAGTTGCAGAGAAGTCAAGGACTGGGACCAGAAATCTAAAGACAACCCAAGTCAAATTCTGTCAGGTCAGGATTTGGCCAATCAGAAAAATTCACTGTGATGATAACTTAGTTGCCAATGGCAGAGCTTGTTTCAAGGGGCCTAGAGAGAGAAAGGGAAGTCCCCTGGTTCTGATGCAGCCTCCAGAATGCACCCAGGCGAATTCTCTGTAACTGGAAGGAAGACACTACAGATTTTTCTCTCATGTGTGTATGACTGCTAATAGCAATGAGGCATGGGGATTTTTGGATAGCTTCATGGAAACATGAGGTCATTAATAATATGTTGTCCTTCAGGAGTTCATGAGTTAGAGTTCTTTTTTTTTTTTTTAAAAAAAAGTGTTTCATGAAAATAACAGAATCCAGAATATCAAAGTGGACATAAGATAGGATTTAAAAAAATATTAAATTTAATGATTATTCTATGATACAATTCCATAGGCTCTGGGATTTCCCTTATCCTCCTCCCCAAATTTCCTCTCCCGTACTGATTTCCCCTAAATTATTACAACAGTATAGTCCTTCACAAGCTGTCATAAGTCCATCATCTGCTATTAAGTGTATTCTGACATAGCCGATATGGACAATGACAGAGAGACAAGCATCCTATTGATAAGACAGGATTTGTAATAAATAATTTCTTAATACTGCCCTTGATTTGAACATCTTTTACAATTTATCAAGCGTGTCCTCTGGTTAAGTTTTCTGTTCAAGAGTTGGAGAAATGAATTTCATCACTTCCTGTCAGTTTCTCTCTACTTTATTCCTGTTGAAAGGAACAAAGCACAGCTTTCTCAAAGGAGAATGGACTGAAGAACTACAGAACTTCAGTATGAACAATTACTAGGATTTGTTCTCAATTTTTTTTTTTTTTTAGATTTTAAAAAGGATTTAAAAATGCTTTATTTGCGAGACAAAGAGAAAGAGAGATCTTCCATCCACTGTTTCACTTACCAAGTGGCTGCAATGGCCAGAGCTGAGCCCATCTGAAGCCAGGAGCGAGGGGCTTCTTTCCCATTCTCCCACATGGATGCATGAGCCCAAGCACTTGAGGCATCCTTTACTACTTTCCCAAGTAGAAGTTGGCACCTGGATAGGAAGTGCAGCAGCAAGGACATGAATCAGCATCTGTATGGGATGCTGGTGGCACAGGCATAAATCCAGCCTACCTTGCCATGATTTAGACTCCCCCTTTTTTTTCTTAGAATTTTATGGATGAAAATAGAAGAACCTAGATAATTGTAAACAGTCATTTTGTAGCTACCAAGCATGTTTGTTATTTTGATGCAACGCCCTGTGTGCAGATAGATGGTCACTACAAATTACTGTTAGTGAAGCATGTGATCTTGCAAAGGTCTGTTTTGTTCAACATCATTCCCACTGATTTTTTGTTCCCAACAATTCCTACATGTTTGAACTAGTTACTTTATATAATTCTTAATAAACTTCACAACAAAAATAATATGAAGTGAAAAACTCTCTACTAATTGTAACTGAAAAACATTTAAAACTACATATATCACAAGTCTACTTTTAGCCATATTGCTCAAAATTACTCTTCAGTTAGACTGAGTAGCAAATTTTATGAAGGATCTGTGCTAGGATTAAAGCATGTAACCAATAACTGCTTGTTGGGGTGATTGTAAGTTCTTTTTTTTTTTTTTAAGATTTATTTTTATTATTTTTTTTATTGGAAAGGCGGATATACAGAGAGGAGAGACAGAGAGGAAGATCTTCCATCCGATGATTCACTCCCCAAGTGAGCGCAACGGGTCGTTACTATGCCAATCCGAAGCCAGGAGCCTCTTCTGATTCACTCCCCAAGTGAGCGCAACAGGTCGATACTATGCCAATCCAAAGCCAGGAGCCTCTTCTGGGTCTCCCACGCGGGTGCAGGTTCCCAAAGGTTTGGGCCGTCCTCGACTGCCTTCCCAGGCCACAGGCAGGGAGCTGGAAGCGAAGCGGGGCTGCCGGGATTAGAACCAGCGCCCATATGGGATCCCGGGCGTGCAAGGAGAGGACCTTTAACCACTTGTGCCACCACGCCGGCCCGAATGTAAGTTCTTAATTCACCTGAATCAGGCCGTGGAACTGACTGCCTGGAGACAAAGGAGGCTCTTCATGCCCCATGCTGATTGGCTGCTTCACAGGAAATACTGCGAATACTCGGGGACAGAAATTCTTGCCTAACATTACTCAGTAACATAAATGAAAAAGAATGTTAGATTAAGTTGAGATTTTAAGTACAATCATTTGCTTTAAACTGTGTATACTGACCAAATGCCAACATATATGTTTAATGAATTTTGTTGAGAAATTTAAAAATTGTCATTTAATAGGAACTTGAAAAATACAAAAGATTTTGCAAGCAGCATTCTAATGTTTTAATAATAGACAACGCTAAAGAAAATAAACTATATACATGCTCAGAAATTTTGAAAATTGTTGAAACAATAAACATATAAAACTGTGCTTACAATAATAGAAATTGAGTGCTATTCTTGGTGAAGTTATTTCTTTAAAACTATTGCATTGGAAAGAAAATGTTGTCAGGAGCTGGAGTAATGAAGAAAGAGGATAGAGGGCAGGGGATACAACTTCATAGAGTCATGCACTAACTGTTATCTTTGAGATGTGGGAATTTTGGAATCCAAGACTTTCTTCATTAAGAATGTAAAGTATAGTTCCTCATATGGTAAGAATATTATATCAAATAAACTTGGATCTATATGAAGAAATAAAGGAAATTGGAAATAATATAATTTCAACCAAATAGATATTTTTTGTTTTTAAAAGTTGCTGTAAACTTTTCCCAGCCTCTCAGGTATTGACATTTTGAGTCCGATAGTGCTTTCTTGGCAGGAAATTATTCATTGTACAATATTTAGTAGCCAACTGTCATCTACCAATAGGTGCCGGGATCATATATCCTGAAAAGACAAAGAAAACTAACTGCAGACATTGTCAAATATAATTTCAGAAGAGCTGTCATTTGAGAATCACTTAAGTTAAGACTCTAAAATAAAATATTATCCATTTTCTGTTCATATACAAAAAAAAAAAAACGTGACAACATCACAAAAGTAGAGAAACATGAAAGCCTATTTAAAATTTGAAATGCATTTGGGGCCTGGCGGCATGGCCTACCGGCTAAAGCCCTTGCCTTGAACGCGCCTCGGGATCTCATATGGGCACCAGTTCTAACCCCGGCAGCTCCACTTCCCATCCAGCTCCCTGCTTGTGGCCTGGGAAAGCAGTTGAGGATGGCCCAAAACCTTGGGACCCTGCATGCATATGGGAGACCTGGAGGAAGTTGCTGACTCTTGGCTTCGGATCGGCACAGCACCGGCTATTGCAGTCACTTAGGGAGTGAAACATCAGATAGAAGATCTTCCTCTCTGTCTCTCCTCCTCTCTGTATGTCTGACTTTCCAATAAAAATAAATAAATCTTTTAAAAAATGTACTTCAAATAGAAACACATATCTACATTAAAGATAAAAGTAGGGGAAATAAATACCATATATATTTCAAATATATAATATACATATTCCAAATACATAATCAAAAGGAAGCTAAAATAAATGTAATAATACTAAACAAATAGATGTTAGAACAGAGAATATTACAAGAGATAAAGAAGAATATCACTTAATGAAAAAGGAGTTACTTATCTAGAAAGATAAAATCATAAGTATGTAGGTACTTGACAACAGAGCTCCAAAATGTTAGAAAAGCCAGATGGAAATTGAAGGAAGAATAGGAAAATCCACAGGTATATTTGAAAGAAATCACAACCATTTCTCAGATTGAAAACTTGAAAACAAATCAATGAAGACTTTTGATAACTAAGATGGTGTTACTGACTTTTTGTCCACCCAACAATATCAAAACACATTTTTTGCAATATATGTGGAATACTCACCAATGTAAGTCATATGCCAGATCATAAAAGATGTTGATAAATGTAAAAGAATTGAAATCATAGAAAATGTGTAGTTTTCTGGGCCGCAAGTAATTAAAATAGCAGTCAATAGAAGAAAAATTGTGGAGATAGTTAGAACTTTAAAACAAAGACCTAGAAATAATCCACTCTTCAAAGTAAAGATTATTAAGATGATAAAATTTATATATATACATATATATTTTAAAGATTTATTTTATTTTTTATTGGAAAGGCGGATACAGAGAGGAGAGACAGAGAGGAAGATCTTCCGTCCAATGATTCACTCCCCAAGTGAGCACAATGGCCGATGCTATGCCAATCCGAAGCCAGGAGCCTCTTCCGGGCATCCCACACAGGTGCAGGGTCCCAAAGCTTTGGGCTGTCCTCGACTGCTTTCCCGGGCCACAGGCAGGGTGCTGGATGGGAAGTGGGGCTGCCGGGATTAGAACCAGCGCCCATATGGGATCCCGGGCGTGCAAGGTGAGGACCTTAACCACTGTGCCATCGTGCCGGGCCCTAAATCAGACTTTCTTACAGAGGAAGCAACCAAATTTTAGGGACTCTGTCTAGATGACGGAGTGTTAAAGTTCTTTTGGTTGGTTTATTCAGGGGTCTGTTGATAATGAAATGACTTCTGTGTCCTGTTTTGTAGCTAATGCTATATTAATGGTTGTTGCAGTAATGATGCTCCAAATGTATTTGGTTAAAGGTAGCAAAAGCTATTGGCATTATTAATATGATTAGTAAAAATTACATAATGTTGGTGCAGAGGCCTAAGCATTAAGACTGTCTTTTGGTGATGTCCGGGCACATTAACAGGGAGCTGGGTCAGCT